AGCTTCCGACGACGGATTGGTACGGGACCTTCATCATCTCATCTTTGTCTTCATCAGATCTCGGACATTACTTTTGGTTCAGCTTTATGTGTCCGGCTAGGGGGTGCTCACTGTTTTGGCTTTGTCCATGCTAAATCTCTTCAAAATCTTCTCAATATATTTCTCTTGACTCAGCCACAGTAGCTTCTTCTGTCTATCTCGGATAATCTTTATTCCGAGAATCTGCTTTGCAGGGCTGAGGTCCTTCATTGCGAAGGACGAGCTCAACGCCTTCTTCAGGGCGGCTATCCTCGATTTATATTTCCCTACAATAAGCATGTCGTCAACATATAACAACAAAATCAGAAAATCTCCGGCCTCATACCTCTTCATAAATACGCAGTGGTCGGCATCTGTCTTTTCAAACTTATGATCAGTCATGAATGATTCAAACTTTTTGTACCACTGCCGAGGTGCTTGCTTCAAGCCATAGAGGCTCTTTTTCAAACGACATACCAAGTCTTCTTGGTCTGGAGCTTGGAATCCTTCAGGTTGCTCCATATATATTTCTTCTTCTAAATCACCGTGAAGAAATGTCGTCTTCACGTCCATTTGTTCTACCTCAAGGTCCATTGAAGCCGCCATGGCTAACACGGTTCGGATCGAGGTCATTTTCACCACAGGAGAAAAAATCTCCTCAAAGTCTACTCCTTTCTTCTTATTGCAGCCTTTCACTACAATCCGGGCTTTGTATCTCGGTTTCTGCCCGTTCTCTTCATTCTTGTTCTTGTAGACCCATTTATTCTTCAGAGCTCGTCTTCCTTTTGGCAACTCGGTCAGCTCATAAGTCTGATTCTCGTGCAGAGACTTCATCTCGTCCCGCATTGCCTTTTCCCATTCTTCTTTCTCTGAGCTCGTCACAGCCTTATCATAACTCTGAGGCTCACCGTCTTCAGCAACAACGGTGTATTAATCGGATGGGTATCTTGTAGAGGGTCTTCTTTCTCGAGTTGGATATCTCGGCTGTTCTTTAGCTTGAGAACCCGGTTCATCATTCTCATCCCGGATCTCATCCTCAACTCGGACCTCAATGTCTTGGTCATCATCAGCTTGTTGCTGATCATCAATTTCTTCATTTTCTTGATTTTCTCCCCCTGCTTCAGCTCGGACAGGAGGGACGGGTTCTTCATGTCTGATAGTAACCCGGACTTTGGGCTTCGAGATGTCATGAATGTTCTCATCCTTATGAAAGATCACATCTCGGCTTCTCACTATCTTCTTATTGATTGGATCCCAAAGTCGAAACCCGAACTCACATGTCGGCGAACCAAGATAGATGCATTCTTTTGTCTTTGCATCAAGTTTGGCCCTTTCATCTTTAGGGATATGTACGAAAGCTTGGCATCCAAACACTTTCAATTGATTGTAGGCCGCTTTCCGACCTGTCCAGACTTCTTCTGGAATTTCTCCTTCAAGTGGCCGTGATGGTGAGAGGTTGATCAAGTCAACAGCTGTTTTGACGGCTTCTCCCCAGAATGATTTCTGTAACCCGACATTGGATATCATGCTTCGTACCTTCTCTTCAATTGTTCTGTTCATCCTCTCAGCCAGTCCATTCAGCTAAGGTGTCTTGGGGGGCGTCTTCTCAAGTCGAATCTCGGCCGTTCTGCAGTATGCATCAAATGGGCCGCAATACTCACCACTATTATCAGATCGGACCACCTTCAATTTCTTGCCAGTCTCCCTTTCAACCATAACATGGAATTCTTTAAAGGATTGGAGTACCTGGTCTTTAGATTTCAACAAATATACCCACACTTTGCGGGAATGGTCATCAATAAATGAAACAAAGTACTGAGCTCCTCCAAGAGATCTTTCCGACATGGAGCAGACATCAGTATGGACGAGATCAAGAATATTCCTTCGTCTTCTTCGTTGATCCGGTCTCACAAAAGAAACCCGGTGCTGCTTTCCAGCTAGGCAGTGCGTGCAACTCTCCAACGCTTGGCCTTTCAACCCAGTCAGTAATTCTTTCTTGTGTAGGATTTGGAGCCCTTTCTCGCTCATGTGGCCGAGGCGCTTGTGCCATAGCTCTAAGCTAGTTTCATCTCGAACAGAATTGGCTTCTCCGCCATTGATCTTTCCTTGCATCACGTACAAGGAGCCTTCCTTCTTACCTCGGGCCACAACCAAGTTTCCCTTGGCTAGCTTCCATCTCACACTACCGAAGTAGTTCACTAACCCGGCATCATCAAGTTTTCCTACCGAGATTAGGTTCAAACGCATGTCAGGAACAAGCCTCACATCCTTCAACACAAGTCGGCACCCGACATCCGTGGTCAGAGTTACATCACCGACACCAACAATCTTGCTGGTCACTTGATTTCCCATCTTCACGACTCCAAAATCACCACCTCGATAAGAGGAGAAAAAACCTTTGTGTGGAGTAACGTGGAAGGAGGCACCGGAGTCAACAATCCAGGTGCAGCCATCATATGCAACATTCAAATAATTATCCTCACCAAGGAGGAATATCTCGACATCCGGGTTGGCAGCCACCGCAGTGGTGCTTTTGTCTTCCCTCTTCTTGGGAATAATCTGATCCGGCTTCACAGAGCCGTTCTTCTCGTCATTTTGCAGGGTCCAGCAGTCTGGCTTCTTATGGCCCGTCTTTCCACAGTAAAAGCACTTCAACTCATATTTCGGCTTTGACCGACCTCTGGACTTGTCTCGTCTATCACGACCTCTACCCCGGCTTTTGCTTCTACCCCGGGAGTCAGATTTCCCTTTGTTCTCAGCAACGTTGGCCTCAGACGTACTCGAAGTACCTCGTTCTCTTCTCCTGGATTCTTCGCCCAGGAGGCTGTCTGTCACGACATCCATCTTCAATTTTCCATCTGGAGTCGAGTTATTCAGGGTCACCACCAGAGTATCCCAGCTTTCTGGCAGCGAGTTCAACAACAGCAATGCCTGCAATTCTTCATCAATTTTCATATCAGCCTTTGACAGCTGATTCATAATACCTTTGTTGGTGTTCAGGTGTTCAATCATGCTCATGCCGTCCTTGTATTCAAGCTTAACAAGTCGGCGAACCAGGTGTGCTTTGTTCCTGGGAGTTTTCTTCTGAATCATGGACTCCAGCTTCGTCCACAACTCATACGCGTTCATGAATTCGGACACGTGCTCAAAGAGGCTTTTATCAATATATTTCCTGATCGTGGCTACCGCCTTCCAACTCAGGATCTCCCACTCCTTATCTGTCTTGCCTACCGGTCTCTCATCAAGGATAATGGGCTCATGCAAATCTTTGCAGTAGAGATGATCTTCCATCATCGGTCTCCAATAAGTGAAGTTGTCAGCGGTCAACTTGAACATATCTCCATCATGAGTTATGCCACTGGTCTCCATCTCGTCTCCCTCAGAACCCTTCGAACTCGGGCTCTGATACCACTGTTGGGAAAACTCGGTTCCCTCAAGCTCGGCTCAGGGGCCTTTCTGCAGAAGTCAATCAACAAGATCCTGATCTCGGATCTCGGCAATACCTCAGCCTGAACTTCACCAGGTCAGGCAGCGCAGCGGAAAAATCAAAACGAAAACAGGAGAGAGAAGAAGAACACAACTAGATTTAACGTGGGAAAACTTTCTCCAATGAAGAAGTAAAAACCCACGGGACCTAGTCCAGATCAAAAATCCACTATGAAAATAATGGTTACAAAAAATCAAATACACCAATGTGGTGGTTAACTCAACCTCTCCAACAATTGTGATAATCAAACTACCCTAGTGATGTTTCACTCAAACTCTCTCTAGAGATCTCTCAAATGCAAAGCATAAAGCTTTACTCAAACAATCAAACAATTTTTCTCTCAAATTTGTTCTCTCAAATCTGACCTAGCCTCCACCCACAACTAATGAGTATATATAGAGGAGGTGGAAATTAGGGTTAGGGTTTTTAGGAAACCCCTCAAATGGGCTTGGGCTTGGGCTTAGTATTGAAGGAGGAAGCCCAACATCACTGCCTCCCAGTTTAAAGTGAAATTAAAAAAAAAAAAAGCACAACAAAAGGTAAACAAAAAATTGGGCCTATGCAATTCCACGCTTCTAGCCCAAAGAGCTTTTGCGTGAGGGGCGTGTTGAGATATATAGTCCCACATTAGTTGTATGTGCCACTAATGTGGAGTTTATAAGGCCTTAGACACTCTCATCCTTTGAACTAGCTTTTGAGATGATGTATCCCAAGGTTTTTTTAGAAAAAGAGACGCCACAAGAGGTGTTAAACCACTGCACGAAGAGGCTCAAAGTTAAAGAACGTGGGATGTGTACACATTAACCACTAAAAGAATATGTGGTTTAGAAAATGTATGCCTGAGAAACATGTAAGTCTTATCTCTTAGTATATGGGCTGCTTGCTTATCCTAATACATTATTAGGTAGTTAGTCGTAGATGCTGTGAGACCCATGAATGGGTTAGAAGACTCAGAACTAGTCAAATACATATGCCAGCACATACTGCTGCTATCTTTGGGGATTATTTCTGTAATTGTGGAAATAAAATGACACGAAAAGGTATTGGGATATGCTGAAGTATGTTCTGAGACTACATAAAAACCAAAATTGGGTGTAATTTTTATAAAGAAATAACGACAAATTACAAATTACAATAATTGAAATTTTCGAAGAATTGTCTAATTTATACGATTAATGTTTCTCATATTGTAAGAGATAAACACATATAAAAATGTATGAGGTTCATATGGAAAAAAAAGAGAAAAAAAAAACACGAACCCCAAATATTTTTATGTATATATTATTTCAGATAAGAAATAGTGATTCCCTAATTTATATGCATCTTTCAAACAATCAGCGTAAGTTATTGGCTTATTAATAGAGTCTGAGTCTAATTAATTTTCCCAAGGACTAGTTCGAGTTGAAACTTTCCACGGCTCTTTCTTAATTCATGGGAGCATCTTTAAAGCAAGAATTAATAAAAGAATATTATTCCACCAATGCAAATTTTATAATATATCTGGGTAACCCTGGGAGCATGTAAAGTCAATGACTATGGGTAAGAATTTATGAGAACTTCAATATAAAGCGTACACTTTGTAAAGAACAGAGTTTACTGCAGATCCTGCAACCAATTCCTTACTTTTTTTCTGTGCTTAAATCTGATCACATATTCTTGAGATTATGGCAGAAGCTCTAGTGGGTGGAGCTTTTATCTCCAGTTTTATTGATGTTGTTTTTGACAGGCTCTCTTCACCTGAGGTTGCAAACATGATCCGAGGCAAGAACCTTGATAACAAGTTGCTTCAAAGGTTGAAGACTACCCTGTATACAGTTCAACTTGTTCTTAATGATGCTGAGCATAAACAGATCAATGATCCCGCTATGAAGGAGTGGCTTGATGATCTCAAAGATGCTGTTTATGCAGCAGATGACTTGTTTGATCAAGTTTCTATTGAAGCTGTCACTCAAAAGAAGGTAATAAACTTTCTGTCTCGATTTCTCAATTTGTGGGATAGGAAGGTGGTAAATCAGATTGAAGATAATCTTGGCCTTAAAGAAATTCCCAAAAAGAACTTGTCATGAAGAACTCCATCAACATCTCTAGTAAAAAGGAATATATATGGCAGGGAAAAGGACCAAGATGCTATAATCAAAATCTTAAATGACCATAGTGAAGATAAAATACATGTGATACTTATTGTGGGCATGGGTGGGGTTGGAAAAGCCACTTTAGCCCAATGGGTGTATGGTAATGAGAATTTGATGAAGGAGTTTGATTTGAAAGCATGGGTTTGTGTTTCTGAAGAATTTGATGTTATTAAGATTACAAAGACTATAACAGAGAGTAACTCATAGTATTTGTAATATGATTGATTTGGATTTACTTCAACTTGATTTGAAGGAAAAGCTGTCAGGAAAGAAATTTTGTTGTTGTTTTGGATGATCTTTGGAGTGATGATTATGGTGGTTGGAATAGTCTTAACACCCAATTTCAATATGGGAATAAAGGAAGTAAAATTCTTGCAACAACTCTAGCAAAAAGTCTTAATGGGATAAAGGAATTGGGAGAACTTTCGAATCTTCATGGATCACTATGGATTACAAAATTGGAGAATTTTACTGATATTGGTGAAGCAGGGATGCAAGGATAATGGATAAGATCGATGATATCGAAAATTTAATTTGATCCTGGAATGGTCTTCGAGTAATAATATGGTTACAACTTTAAGAGAAATATTTGACTAGTTGCAGCCTCACAAGGGCTTGAAAGAACTCACGATTAAGAGGTACATACGCTTGATATTTGAAAAAGTTCTCGAAGGAATTCTCATATGCTTGATATGCTTCCATAGGCCATAGCATATGCTCTGGATTAAAGGCATGATTCACCGTCACAAAATATTAATCCTTTTGGACAAAAAGATGATGGTTTCAAATATGGTAGGTTGTTGTCTTGTGAAATCACTATTTCTATTTTGAAAAGTCTGTACTGGAAAATTTTGCGTTGTAACTTGCAATATTTTTGTCGTCAAATATATATTTTTGTCACTATTTCCATTAACAAAAACCTCACTGCCAAGTCTTCTGTATCTAATAGAGTCATAGATATGTTTGATGTATTTGACCGGTTACATTTAACTTAGTTATTGACTTCATGCGTGTCTAATATTTAATTGATCTATTGATAACTGATTGAAAATGTAAGTAACAGCAATATCATTCGTATCATCTTTTATTTACGGTGAGCATTTCTGCGTTATTTAAGCAAAATGGATTAGTTTTGTGCATGTGAACATGTCAGTCTAACTCGAAGATTAAAGACATAATAGTTGGTCTTTCTTTTACTTACCCCAGGCCACGAAGCATAATAAATCAACTAGTCAAGTCATACCTTTTGCTTAGTAAAGTTATTAATCTTGTTTAGTTTAAAAAATTTATTAACGGTCATAGCAGAAGGAGGATTAAGAATCAGAAATGGGAAAAACGAGAAAGAAAATTCATGACGAAGAGGGAAATTGGGATCAAATAACATATGCTATTCAATCAGTTTTTTCTTAATAAATATGAACTAATTAGTAATTACTTGAGCCTAAAGCAGTGGTGGACCGACATTGGTGACTGTCTCTGCACATGCAGACAAAAAAATTTGAGAAATTTTTTTTTTTTTTTTTTTCAAAAGGTTTGAATCATAAAATTGCTAGGAGCATTGACAATAGAGGCGTGCATATCACACATCATCGCAATCTCTTCCTTGAACTGCCGCGTGATCCTCATCTCCTTCTATCTATTTTATTGTTTTTTCATCCATCAGTTCGAACAACTTACGAGCTTTACGGCGCTGGTAGACTAAAGCTTTTTTTTTTTTTGATAATAAGACTAAAGCTTTTTAGTTTATGTAATATATAACGTTAATAGACATATATGTTAATCTTATTATTATTGAAAAACAGAGATATGAAATATATATTTTAAAAAAACTAATATATAACGTTCAAGAAATATACATTAATCTTATTATTATTGAAAAAAATTCTAATATAAATATGAAATTTATGGTTTTTCTATTATTATTATTATTATGACAATCAAGTTTTGATAAATATTACATTATAAATATAAATATATAAATAAATATATATATATATATATATATTTAAACTTTTGTATTTTAAATAGTGTGGATTTTACGATTTGTGTCGATCTTACGATTTACAATTTTTTCATTCTCTTCAGATCTTAAGTAACAGCTTAGTTGACTTTTGATTATTATTATTTTTATGTTAAGTTTAAATTTTTGTTTTCTTGTTTATATTTTTTTTAATACATTTAAAATTTTCTTTAAAAAAAATCTTCGGGGAGCTGCCCCCGAACCCCCGCCATAAGTGTGAACACATAAAAAAAAAATTTGAGTCCGAATTCAAAACTGACAATCACTTCTGCAAAATAAATATCCAATCTAACTAAGATAACTCCGAGAATAAGATAACTATGATATCTTAAATAATCAATCTACTTTGATCTACTCCAACTATTTTAATTTCATTGATATTGACTGATCCTATCCTCATTGAATTGAACTCTTTATGTTCTGTAGTCGAATAAGTTAGTGGGCTCCTTCTTTTGTCTCTTGGACCTGATAGTCATTGGGCTTACTACAGTAACATTATATATTCTCTTCATTAAATGTGGCTTACGAGTTACGAGTATAAACATAAAATTTATTTTGAAAACGACTTTTGATGAAAAAATCACAAAATATCATAATTTTAGGGGATAAGTTATTCTACTTATCATTTTTTTGGCCTACTTTTATCTGTCACTCTCCAACACCGTTAGATCAGAATCTCAACTAACATTTTTTTTTTCTCTTTTCTTGAGATTCTGATCTAATGATGTTAGAGAGTGGTAAGCAAAGGTAGGCAGAAAAAATGGTAGGTAAAGTAACCTATCCCTAATTTTAGATTGAAAATTTTGGTGGATGACTATTTTCATTTTGAGAAAAGATTGAATTTATAGTTTCAATATTTTAAGTGTAAAAATATTTTTTTTCTCTAAATAATTGATATATTAATAGAGAGAATTATTAGCGCAATCAAGATTGGAAGTGAGAAAAAGAACAATAGATTAACGGAGTAAAGAGAGAGAGAGAAAATTAATGGAACTTGAAAAATGATATTTTTTAGGTAAATTACAAGATATATCTATGTAATTTTACTCTTTTTTTTATAAAAGCAGCTCTTAAATTTTTTTGTGTTATTTATTTTCTTAGCAACTTTGGTTTAAATAAAAAAGATTAATATTATAGTTAACTTCAATGGTAATTACTATTAATTTTATACAATAACTCCTTATTTAATTTTTTCTTAAGATATTTTTCGAAAGTTAAGATAATTAAAAAAGTAATAAATTAGTTTTTTTTTTAATTTTTGGTAATCAGTAATAAATTAGATTGAATTTAAACATCATGTAATTAAATTTAAAGAGAATTTTGGGTGAATGATGTTATGGAATAGATCCAAATCCCAACAACCCCTTCAATATTAGATTAAAGGGAATATCACAACAATATAATCTATAGAGGATTAAGGGATAAAATTCCTATCCCTAACAATCAAGGCAGCCATCGTAACAACATGAAGGTATCTAGGGCCCAAATCCTAAAAAGTAAACTCAATAAATAAAGGTTAAAGATCTCAAGTACACACTTTTGGGCTCTTTCTCTATTGCTGCCAATACTGTACACACACGTCTTGGCTATATGCCTATTATTGGTGCGCAGTGATTGGTACATTGGCTATATTCACGTACGATAACTCTCATAGAGATCCCTGAGCGCATACATCTATCACTTACGTGGTGAATATTTTCGGTCTACCCAGATCGAACATCGGCGCCGTATGTGGGAAACATTAAATTTTGACTGCCACCATAATGACATGCACGCGTAGTGATGCAAATAGTTTACCACCACCACTCCCGCCACAACCTCTCATGGATCAACAAGGGGGACCGCAACTGGTCCTTGAAGATGTACATGTAAGCGATACATAATCAGAATCCGCGTCGCCAAGGCACATGGGAAACTCGGTCGAAAATCAACTTCATCCTCCCCATCGTGAGACTCAGCCCACTGTGGATGACAGTATCCAACACAAAACCCGCCATCTTGCGAAGGATGGAAGAGATGGAGAACAGTTTCATAGCCCAATAGCGGCATAACGCTCAAATAATGGAAGGCTTTGAAAATAGGCTACAAAACCACAATCTGAACAACCAGCATGCCAAGCTGGGAATCACAATCAGAACGACCAAGAAGAAGGATAACGGCCGAGCCACAAGTAATGGATAGAATGGCCGAGCTAAACAGGACAGAGCATGTGGTAATGATGGAGGTCAAGGTAATGGCCGAGATGGAAACAACGTACCTGGAAAAAATAACAACCCTCACAATAACGAAGAAGCAAACAACAACCCATTTACTGACAGTCTCATGAATATGGCAATTCCGCCAAGGTTCAAGAAGACTAAGATATTGCCTTACGACGGTAGTCAAGACCCTGAAGCTCATTTGGAAGCCTTCAAGATTGAGATGTTGTTCAATGGGATAATTGGACCTATAAAGGCCCAGATCTTTACAACTACTCTAATAGGGCAGGCCATGACCTGGATCACCAGGTTGCCCAGAAACCCAATTGATTCATTCAAGACCTTGCCCGCACTTTTTGCCTAAATTTGTCTACTAGCAAGGCCTATCCCATGTCGGCGTACGTGTTGGGTCGAATTCGACAAAAAGAAAGAGAAACGCTGCACAAATATCTGGACCACTTTAAGGATGTCGCCCTTAAAGTGCGAAATTTAACTGAGGCTGTTCATCTACACTTGATTATCTCGGCACTGGATGGAGAATCTCCTTTGGCCAAGTCCATATACAAAAACCCAGTCAATGACTTAAAAGAATTCAGACAGAGATCGGACAAATACATAGACGTGGAAGAGATGCAACGTGCCTGCATGGTTACAAATGGTGAAGACAGAGGCCGAAGCCCTCGTTGCCAAAACCCAAATAAGAAAAATAGGGACAAAGATCGACAAGGGTCCAAGAAGGCGGCCGACTCCCAACATAAAAGGTCAGAAGAACGTTCCGTAAGAACTAAATTTGATAACTATGCACCTCTCAATGTCTCCAAATCCCGAATTTGGAGGGAGGTTGCCTAAACCGAGCTTCAAAATGTTGAAAGGCTGAAACCAATCAGAAAAAAAAAACCAGTTTTGATGCGTGGAAAAGCCCAAATTAGGGTATGATACCCTAGGGAGTCAATTTTACTGTTGAAAGTATAAATACAAATAATAGTAAGGGTTAACATGCTATAATTATAGCTCAGGAGGGACTTGAGTTACTAAACGAAAGAGAAAATATTGCTTAATTGATATGAAATTTTGGATTCTGAATATTAATAATGTCTTGATACAAACAGATTGTAATTGTCGGATTATGTGACTGTGTATACTGACGGAGCCTTTGGATAAGGATTTTGGCACTACAGGTAAGCTTTCGTGTCCTCAATTTTACCCATTGATGGTTTCACCAAACCTCATGGAGGGATTAGTTTATATGCATGATGTGTTTGTTTGGAAAATATTTGTTTATGTTATGAGTATTGGATATGCTGAGCTGGATTATGTTTTTAGTGTATTTGCCATATGTATATGTTTGTAGGGTATTCACACGAGACGGTAATCCCTGAGCATGTCAGGCTATATGCAAGATGGTAAACCCGTGTGTGAAGTACATGGTGGACTCCTTGCACTGTGGGTTGTAGACGTACGTAATCCATATCTTTTATTCTCTTGCCAGTAGGATGCATACACACATGACATGGACATATGCTGCATTGCACAGATTTTTCCATTTTATTATTGTTATCATTTTTGAATTTATATTGCACATGTAAGTGAGTTTGGGGTGGAGAGATCCTTGAGGACCCCTTGCCTTACTGAGATTTCTTGTTAGAGTTCTCACCCCGCGTGGGGCATATTTTCAAGTACAAGTACTTCTGAGATTGAGACCTCTGGTGGCAGGAGGACAGAGTTGAGCTGATATTGTACATTCTTCTTACTTGT